AAAAAAAGCTTTAAAGTCCAAAAAGTTTGACTAATAAAAAAAATGTGTGCTTTAAACAAACAAACAAAAAAAAGGGAAGAAAGAAGCATATTAGTTCTACTAAAGGCCAATCGGTTCAAAAGTCTTTTAGACATTGGATTTCATTTTAGGTTCTAATCCAAAACTTTATTTTAAGGTATATTTTATTTTATTCTGTTTATTTATTTTATCATAGTTTTGGTATGTTTATTCTTGTCAATTTGTTTATGAATGTTTGATATTATGATATTATTATGTATTGCTTGCAAACAAATATTTTTTTTTTTTTAAAAGAGAAAGGATAATTTCTATTTAAAAATATTTTTTAGAAAGATGGTTTTAGAAATTAAAATGGAATAATAGGTTTTTTTTTTAATGAAATGCAATGACTTTCAAAACCTTACCTAGAGTTTGGAGAGAATTCAAATCATATGTTAAAAATTCTAATTCCTCTTAGATATTGGAGAATTAAAGAATTAAAAATAAAAATTAATTAAGTAAATTAAATTAGAATTTAAAATATAAAGTAAAAATTTTAACAAGTAAATTAAATAACAAATAAAATTTATTTCACTTTTAATTTTTAGAAAGAAAATGGTAATAAATAAATAGGAATAAATATGCATAAAACTTATTAAATTGGTTGTCTTAATTTTTAGTTTTTATTTGCATAATTTATTTGTTTCATGTTACATTAATATAAAACTATAAAAAAAAAGAGAATTATGAAAACTAAACTTACTTTGAAAGTCTGCTTAGATGTTGAGAATAATTGACAAAGTTTGAATTATCGATGATTCCCATTTTTTCAACAAAAAAAAAAAAAAACCTTTAAAACCCTCAAGCTCAAAACTCTAAAACCCTCAAAACTCAAAACCCTAAAACCATCAAAACCCTAAATTTTAAAATCCTAAAATTTGAAACCCTAAAATCCAAAATCTTAGAACCCAAAACCTTGAAATCCTAAAATGAGATCCTAAACCCTAAATAGTCAAAACCTTAAAATCTTGACCTAAACCTTCTAAAAATATCCCAAAATTCTAATGATACGTATGAAAATCTTACATGAAATAATTTATTCTTGAATGTCATCTAGAAGATAGAGTATTTAAAAATTTTTATTTCACCAAGTTTTTCGTGCAAGTCCTTAACTTGTAATAATAATAAGATTAAATATAAATAATAATAAAATGAGATCTTAAATATAAATAATCGCATATAAACTCTATTTAGATGTTGGTGAGTTAGGATAGTCTCATTACATTTAAGAACTTTATTCTAAAATTGCATTTTATCATTATGCATATCATTTATTAGCATATATGCACTTATCTATTAATTTCATTCATTTCGCATGTTTATGTTTTTTACTATTGTTTCGTAGTTAATTGTAATATCATCAATTTTTTTTCTTTTTGTACAAAATGTTTTTATGAAAAGTATTATTAAAAAAATAGATTTTTAAATAAAATAAAAGTAACATTATAAAAGAAATAATTCTTGGTACTCTACCTAGATATTGAAAATCATCAACAATTATCATCTACAAAGAATGCTTATTTCATTTTAAGGAATGTTGTGACAAATCTTAAGTAAAAAAAGTTATCCATAAATTCTGCTTAAAAGTTGAAAATTTTTAAGATAATTTTTTAATTTAAAAATTTTCTTATTATTCCTAAACAAATAATTTTAATAAATTTTTTTTTTCAAAAAAAATTAAGGAAATTATTATTAAATTTCAAATTGAAACTATTTTATCTAACACAAAAAATAATGTATAATTAATTAGTATCAATTTTCATGAGCGTTGTGAGAATGCTAATCTTTCCTCATACATAATTGACTATCGAACGTAATTCTATTTTTGTAGACTAAAAATAATCTTTTTGATAAACTTTTGGACTCATTTTATCATTTTATTAAAAGAATAAATTATTTAAATGATCAATTATACCTATAAAAAATTATTTATGATAATTTTTTATTTTTTTCGATTTTAAAATTTAAACATCTAAGATCTCAAAACTATTATGACAAGTATAAGAGCTAATGTAACCGGGTAGCTTTGCTATAGGAATCGATACCTTAAATTTTTATTTTTCGAAAACGAAAGTTTGAAAAAGAAACAGAAAACGAAATTCTCGAATGCTGCCAATATAAAATACTTGTTTTCTTTTTTTTTCTTTTTTTTTCCGATCGAATCCACCCTGGGCCTCAACCTAATGCCAAATGTGGCCCAATATTTCTGTTTCTATCATCTCATAATTTCACCTTTAACATCTTATAATTCAAGTTTGAAATAGAACCTTTTCAATTTAGTGATTTAGTATTTCTAGTTTGAGGCGTAGTTTAATATTATTGTTGCGATTGAAAAAATTTTATATATTGTAAAAAAATTATAATTTATAATTTTGGAATGTTTTAAATTATTGTAAAAAATTAAAATAAAAAATTACATAATGTTGGAAAGAAAAATTAGATTATTTTTTCAAAATAAATAATTAAATAGAAATTTGATGATTTATTTTTAAATCATAAATTTTCGTAATTAATTTTTACAGGTGATTTATTTTTAAATAAATCATAATGTATTTAATATTATTTTTGCATTTAGGTTTACTAATTAATAATGGATATTTAAAAACAAAATCTTAATATTAAAAGCGGGACGGTGTGCGACAACCGTATATCATATCCATTCACCATGCTTATGAAACAAAATAAACTAGTTTGCCCCGAGTCTTGTCCCGATTTTCAAAAGAATAAACCACCTTTTTCAAGGCGGATTGATGGCCAGTCTATCAGGTGAGTCATGTATTGCGATCTCTACTTGAGGAATTTTTTTTAATTAAGATTTTAATTATAGTATATTTTTAAGATTCGGTGATTTGGGTATTGTATAAATTATTAAAATTTATATATTTATATTATATTTTATAAAAAAATTATTTATTATAATTTGTGTTGATATGAAAATAAAAAGTATATATTTTTATTTTATTAAATTCATATATAATAATTATTAAAATTTTAAATCATATCATTTATTTTTATATTACGTTTATATTATATTGTTATGTTATATTTTTAATTATCAAATATGATATTATTGTATTAAATGTGATAATTAATAGTTTGATTTAATGAATTTTTTTTGCTACATACGAAGAAGTTCGGGAGAGAAAAGATTTTAAACTTTTGACCTTTTCTTTTCTAAGGAGGAGTAACAATAGTTAGGTCAACATTAAAAAAAAAAAAAAAAGTTAGGCCAAATGTGATTCAACAAAATGAGCTTTGTTTTTTTTTTTTTTATAAATGTTTTTTACAAAGAAGCTTATAATCTAAAATAAAAGAAGAGATCATAAAGTATTGAGATTTAAATATTAAAAATTTTGATTTATTAGATATTAATTTTTAAATTTGATTGGATAAAATAATTATTAAATCTTGAATTTAATGTAATGAATTTTAATATATGTCATCTCAATTGAATGAACTAAGTCAATTAAATTTTGGATTCAAAGTAATAAATTTTAATATATGAAGAGAAGATATTACTTTATTAATATAATAATATTTAAATAAAAGAAAAAAGATATGAAAAATAAATTAAAAGTAAAAAAAGTAGAATTAAGTATGATTTTGAGACATATAAAAAGAATAAATTATTAAATATAATAGTAAATTTTTTAATTCTATAAGTGGGATTAAATTGTGATATATGTTCTTTAGTTTATATTTAAAAAAAAAAAAATAAATTTTTAAAAAATAAGATATGTGTTACTATTTTAATTTGTTTATAAAATTAAAAAATTTCACTATATATGTATCAAATTTTTTTAAAAAAATAAAAGATGAAAAAGACAATGTGATAGATTGTTGGTGGAATTTAAAAGTTACATTATTAGTAATTTAATAGGATAATAATGCATAAAAGAAAGAAGGCAGCAATTTTTTTCCCAAGATTTATATATTTTTTTAAACTCTATAAATGAAATTAGATAGTTATAATTTATATATAATAATTTTATTTATTATTTATTGATATATATATATATATATATATATATATACACACTAATTGGACATAATTGGGAAAAATTTTCATTGTGAATTTATACAATAATTTTTTATATTAAAATTGCTAAAATTGACAAAAAAAAGAGTTAATATTAACTAATATATTAATGATTAAAAATATATTTTAATGAAACATGTGTCAATTGTTAAGTCCTATTTATGAAACTTAGAATTTCACTATGGAGATATAAAAAAAAATGTGACAATTGTATGTAAAATTTAAAATTTTCACTATTTGTATATTTAATAGTTAATAGGATAACCATCATTCATTAAAGGGAAATAAGGCACCGAATAAAAATTTTCCAAGATTTTTGTTAATACTTCAAGAGAAAAATTTACGTGAAAGAGTTTAAATAATGCATTTAAGAAAAAAGTAGTAAGATAGGAAATTAAATTAATTGTTTTTTTTTTTGGCTAAATAGATTAAAAAAAAAGCTTTTGACTTAAAATTTAATAACTATCAAAGTTTTTATCATTTTTTTAATTAATTAAAATTTTAAACATTTATTTTTATTAATTGAATCATTATAATAAAAAATAATTAATTATTTTTGTTTAATTGATAATTTAATTGAATAAAATTTACGTTTAAGGGTTAATTTTTAGATAAAAATAAATACTTAAATATTCAATTAAATTAAAGTAAAAATTTCATAATTTAATTGATTATAATAAAATATAAAAAATTTATTAATTTTTCTTTGATAAATTTTTTACCCTTTACCCTTTTTTAAAACGGTTTTCCCTTTGATGGGGAATGGAGGCACGTTTACCCTAACAAAAATGGCAAGCAGTGCTGCCGCGGTTAAAACTTAGCAAGAGAAAAAAAAAATCGTCACTTAAATAGATTTAAAAAAAAAAAAGAAATAATCAATTAAATAGAAAAGGAAAAAAATTTAAACGGTCAATTGATCCCAAAAAAACTTTAAAAATAACTTCTGGTCGCACTCTTTTATATTCTACATTTTACGACCACCAAATTTTCCGTTCAAAAGATAGAATCCACAGTTTCACCGCCGTTTTGTTGTAATTTTCCTGCCGTTTTATGCTTTTCTCCCCTTTTGAAACCCTGTTCGTGCAAAATATCCTTCAAATTAAGAAATAATAAAAAAACGTGTTTAGATCTGAAGGCGCAGTTGGATTGGGGGGGCGGCGTATCGAAGCGCTTGAATGATCGGACGTTCTGTTGAGTTCTGAGGGTGGAGAACTGGTTTCCGTTGGGAGGAGAGGGTGGTTTTTGATGGGCGATCTCCGAGATTGGTCGCCAAAATCAAACGACGTCGTGTCTAACCAGAGGTCTTCATCGTCATCGAATCAAGCGGGGATTGGTGCAGAGTATTTGCAAAAGGCTGAGGAAGCAACGCAGGGGATCATAGCCCAGGTTCAGCCAACGGTTGTTTCAGAAGAAAGGAGAAAATCGGTCATCGATTACGTTCTGAGACTAATTAGGAATCATCTTGGTTACGAGGTCAGATTATCAAACATTAATGAAGCTTTTAATTATCATCGTATATGCTATAATAATAATAATATTATTATTATTATTATTATTTGATCGAATGTTAACATTGTGTAATTAGTGAGTTAGTTGGAAATTACTACTCTATTTGTTATATTGTACTGGGAATGGATTTTTAGAATGGAGTTGAGTTTAAAACTGAACTCTTATGTAGTTTGGAGTAACAGGAAAAAGAATACCAAATTTAAGAGAAAATAAGGTTAGTATTTATTGATTAAATTAGAATGAAGAGTGGTGGCAGTTTGTTTTTGTTATTAAAATGGTTTCAAGAGGGGACAAAGTGGAGTGTAAGGTAATGTGGTTTCCGACAAAGGGTTGCTCCGTCAGTTGATTATGTAGAAGGTGGAGTGTGGGTCATTGGTAATTCTCTATTATCCTGTCCTAACCATATGTCCTTTGTAGATGAAAGTTGTTGATAAGACCTAATAGTTGTTATAGATAGATATCAATCCAAATGGAACTTACAAATTCTGTTACATGGATGAGGCTTCTATCGTGTTAATGTTCCATTGTTATGACTGTCAAAGGTAGCCAACTTCTCTTCTATTGGTAGTTGGATGGAATGATAAGACTATTGATGGGGTGCTTTTGAGTATTTGACGTCTATGATAGTATTACTTTTGTTAAATTCAGTTCATTTACCCTGAATTAGGTTATCAAGGGGTTTTTTAGACTTACTCCAAGTTAGCAAAGCCCTTAATTGCAATTACCTTGGATTGTAAAAGTCAATTGGAAAATTTATCATTTAATGTTTGCAGCTGAAAGGAACCTGGTTGTTGTTGACAGACCAATATGTACATTTTATTTCAATAACATCAGTAGTCATATATGTCTCATTGTCTTTTTATTTTTCTTGTTTTGATAGCTTTTTATTGCTTTGATCATGAAGATAAGAGCATTTTATTTGAAGTAGTGAACAGTTTAGATAGATATTAATAATTTATCTTGTATTTATTTCAGGTATTTCCATTTGGGTCAGTGCCCTTGAAGACCTATCTTCCTGATGGAGATATTGATTTGACAGCCTTTGGTGCCCTAAACTCTGAGGAGGCTTTGGCCAATGATGTATGTTCTGTTCTTGAAAGAGAAGACCAAAACAGAGCTGCGGAGTTTGTGGTGAAGGATGTCCAATTAATTCGGGCAGAGGTTTTTAACTTCCTAACATGTTGCTACAGATCTTTTCTTAGTCAATATTATTTGTATTTTGCTTATGTAGGAGACTAACCTGTTTATATAAGGTTTACTTCATCCCTTATTTTTTTTGTTGACATTTACATCTATCTGCATTTTGAATTTCCCCACCTTGACCATTTATTTTAGTGTCATTATTACCTGGACAAATGAGCAGAAAAGTAATTTGATGCATCCACATGTTTTCTCTTTGTCATTTTGATGAATGTTATTTCTGGAGAAACACAAGGACTAATGATTTCTATGCTTAGATGGAGATAAATGCTATCCCCACGAAAGAGCTTCTCCAATTAAATGTTATACACTTAAAGACCACAATAATTTTTCCACTTTTGGCTTTGTACATAATTTGTCTGGTCATCTCTGCTTCTTAATTGTAGTCCATTGCTGATTGCTGAGGGGCACAATGATTTCCAGATCATTGCTGGTATCTCTACTGATCAGTTTGGGTGGGTTGAACCTGTGACATAGACAATGTATGCTTAAAAGTTAAAACCCTATCCATGACTGAGGGCGGGATGTTTTGACTGGACTATGGGGGCAACTGGTGTAACTGATAACTAGAACACGTACAAAAGAACATTATTATATCTTCTTCTTTTTTATATCTTTCTGAACCTGTGAAATTGTGCATACTTAAATGCAGCTCCTATCTCAAGTTAATGGACAGTCAAGTAATACTCTCATTCCTTTATGCATGTTTTCAAACCTTGTCTAAAAGGGCAACAAGGTCTGAAAGTTGAAATATAGAAAGAGCAGATGAATATAGACAAAGGTAATGCTGAACTTATAGACCATTTTAATTGCATTAGCTCTGCCAGCCTGTTAGCATGGAGTTGTCATTCTAGGTTATTTTTAGATGAAGTCATTCTAGGTTATTTTTAGATGAATAGAGAGGGTGACCTGTGATGTAAAGTTCAAAATACATTACTTGATTATCTCTACCTCTTGACTGAGAAGTATTTTAAAGTTGTTGCAAATCACTTGATCCTAGGCATACGAGTACTATTAATGCTTAGTTATAGAGCGAACTGAGGGAACAGTAATCTAAGATATTATACATGATTTGTAAATTTGGCTTGGTGACAAAAGGCCAATATTTGGCTTCCTTGATGATGCACCAGAAGTACTTTGAGCAAGAGAATATGTATGAATGTCATTCTCTAATCAAACATACAAGCTCACTGCTAGAGTATAGTAATGTTTGATTCAATGAATAATGATTGACATAACAGTCTCTCTTACTTGTAAACTATGTTGCCTACGAAGTTTGTTTTTTGTGTCATATCATAGATCCTAACTACATGTCTCAAAGTTGTATTTTCTTTTCTCAAGAACAAAAGCAAAACTTTTATAAGGTTTATTTTTTGCTGAAACTTTAACTAAGCTTCAGCAAGAGTTCAACCCTTCATGTTTTGTGCCATTTTGATATTTGTGACAACCATTCATTTTATAAATATCAGATTCAGTGGTTTTTGCAGCGATGTAACTGTTTTCCCCCTGATAAATATCCTTTGTTACAGTTTTTCAAGTTGATCTTATTTTTCAATTTGTGGACTGCAGTATATAACTATGTTGTGTATAAAACACATTATTGTGTATCCATGGCCATATTCAAATATGTTAGTTCTTTTACTAGGCGAAGACTTTACACGTGTTTCTTTACCATCCCAGATTTCATTGGTATGCATGGTAGAAATGATTGCATATTCATATGCTCTTGCATTATTTGAGATGATTTTTTATTGTAACAATGTACATTTCAGAAATCATTTGTTATCATATGTAGCTGGTCATCTTTAAATTTGGCTTCTCTGGTGGCAGGTTAAGCTTGTAAAGTGTCTAGTGCAGAACATTGTGGTAGATATCTCTTTTAATCAGTTGGGGGGGCTATGTACGTTGTGCTTTCTTGAGCAGGTATGGTACATTATCAAAAATTTGCGTGTGAATGAAAGCCGTTTACTTTCAAGTTAATTGAGTTCATCTGAAAATAGACAAAAAAAAAAAAAAAACGAATTGCTCTCTCTCCCTCTCTCTCGTTAAATATATGACAATCAACTTCTTCCCCTTTCTGATTTCATGTTTTCATGTTTGCAGAACTTTGTTAAAATTGAGATATGGATATAAAATCTCTGTTATTCTATCTTTCTGTATATGTACATGTTGGGAGAGCTGGCATGGTTATAGGGGTAGGGGTGGCTGTATCATATTGGATATCAGCAGAAATGTGCCTTTTTTTTTTTTCATAAATTAACATCCCCAATAACTTTACAGGTTGATCGTCTTATTGGAAAAGATCATCTATTTAAACGCAGTATTATACTGATAAAGGCTTGGTGCTACTATGAGAGCCGTATTCTTGGGGCTCATCATGGTTTGATTTCTACCTATGCTTTGGAGACTTTGGTGCTGTATATTTTCCATCTATTCCACTCATCACTTGATGGTCCTTTAGCGGTGAGTGCTGCAGGGATATTGGCAGTGTAAACTAACTGATCACATAAATGTAACTGATTGATATGTTTCAGGTTTTATATAAATTTTAAATGTAACTGATTGATATGTTACAGGTTTTATATAAATTTTTGGATTACTTTAGCAAATTTGATTGGGAAGACTACTGCATCAGTTTGAATGGTCCGATCCATATATCCTCCCTGCCAGATATTGTGGGTGAGCAACTTCATTTTACTTTCATGCCCAATTGTGTTTATTCTACTTTATACATGATTAAGTTGCTTATGTCATTGATCCTTTTTGCAGTTGAGATGCCTGAAAATGGTGGGGGGGATTTACTGCTCAGCAATGTTTTTCTCAGGGAATGTGTGGAAAAGTTCTCAGTTCCATCAAGGGGATTTGAGACTAATTCGCGCACATTCCCTCAAAAGCATCTAAACATTGTAGATCCTTTAAGAGAAAACAATAATCTTGGTCGCAGTGTAAGCAAAGGTAGAATCACTTTTCCATAAGCAAATTCCATTATTCATTTCTTTTGAACTCAAAACTTCTAAGTCTTGAGGATAGGAGAAAAAATGGTTGTTTAGTGATTCTTGAACTGATCAAGAGGGACAAAAGGTCAATCATAATATACCTTTTCCTTTGTAGGGAACTTTTATCGTATAAGAAGTGCTTTCAATTATGGGGCTCGGAAGCTGGGGTGCATTCTTTCCCAGGCAGAAGAAAGCATAGCAGATGAACTTCGTAAGTTTTTCTCGAACACTCTGGATAGGCATGGAAGTGGACAGAGGCCTGATGTTCAAGATCCTGCCTCGTTGTCTAGATTCAGTGGATTTGGTGCAACATCATCAGTTTCAGGTACAGAGTCATGTCAAGAAGATCAAACCTTTTATGAATCAGAATTTTCACATGCAAGTACCATGCCTGGGAATTATGGATCTGATAATGAGGGATCATTGCACAAAGTCAGCAATGGTAATGTATCTGGAAGGGAAACAAATTTTAGTAGAACCCTTAATGAACCGCAAGGTTCTGCAAATGCTATGAGTGTTTCAGAAGTCCGTCTCTCTGGGGATGCTTTAGACCTGGCAACCGCCAGAATTCAAGGTCTTGTAATTTCAAATAATGCACATAAATCTTGCCCTCTGAATGCAGAGGACGGTGTTTCTTCATTGGAGAATGTACGACATGCACCTCATCTCTATTTCTGTAGCTCATCTTTGGATAATGGAGATATAAGAAATGGAAATGCAGAATGCAAACAATCAGAAAATTCTGGCTTGACTGAAAATAATATGACTTCTGGTATTCTTCCAGCAACCAGTGAGGAGCTGGGTACTAATGTACATGGTGATCACAGCAAGAATCAGTTGGTTGTTAGTCAAGGGGTTCAGTACCCTGTTGGATTGAAGCACCATCCCTTGATTTCAAGTTCTGCTTCGTCATCTGAGGATTTATTTCCTGGATATTCCAGTTATCCGGCTTCCACTAGTGCTGCTGGGAGTCAGGAAGCTTTGAGCTCATTGTCAGATCTTTGTGGGGATTATGATACTCACTTACGTAGTTTGGATTGTGGCCGCTATGAATATACCATCAGTGCTTCTGCTCCTTCAATTTCTTCACCTTTGGTTTCTCAGTTACAGAGCAAGAATTCATGGGATGTAGTACGACAGTCAGTGCAGTTCCGGCGAAATGCAATTTCCCCGATAAATGCTAATGGTGTTGTACCACAGCAAGCCTACTATTCCATGAACCCAACAATGCTACATGGTTCAGGCTTTGGAATGGAAGAAATGCTAAAGCCTCGAGGAACAGGGACATACTTTCCCAATCCCAACACGGTATACTCATTCTAAGCCTTTGGATTGGGCTTCTAAAACTTATGCTGAAAATATGAAATGTAGCCTCTGTTGCTAACTTGCAGTGGCAGTGTCATAGTGGCATTTTGCTGGTGCTGTTTTTCTTTTGTTAAAATTTTCTGGTTGGGCCCTTGTTGTCTCAATGTGGTTTTATGCTTAAATCTTTTTGCAGAACCATTATAGAGATAGGTCCTTGACATCAAGGGGAAGGAACCAAGCACCAGCAAGGTCTCCGCGCAACAACGGTCCTTCGATTAAATCCCCAGATACTAATTCACTGGAGAGAAGCAACCATGAGATTGCACAAGTGCAGTCATCAAATCAAGTTGGTGGAAAATCTGGGTCTTTGGATCTCCACCACTTTGGTTCTGAAAAAGTGTTATCCCCTAATGCCAATGGCTCAGTGCATCAGCGAGACAGGGTTGTAGAATTTGGGTCAAAGAGGTCCCTACCATTTTGGCCAGCCTCTACAGAAAGTAACAAGCAACATAATCCAGGTTCCCCTCGCGCTCAAAACTTGAGTGCAAGTCACCCACAATTAGGAATGCAAAGGCCAAAATCAGCCGTGGGCATGGATCAGAACAGGTTTGAGAATTGAGTGTTGAAATTCTATACGGCAGAGTAAATATGTGTACTATTCTCTCTAAGCTTTCTCTTCTAAACATGCAGGATCATTGTACAATCATTCCATTTAAAAAATGAAGAAGATTTCCCACCTTTATCCATCTGATAGCTGTGGAAAGCAATGATCTTAATTTTTGCGGTTGAAAAGTTTGGAAAAATAGAACAATTAAAGCTAACAAAGCCAGCCCGAGCCTCTGCTTGTGCGAATATGGCTCTTTGGTAGACATTCCAAAGCTCAATGTCTGGAGATTCATTATTTTTGTGTTTTATTTGTCATAGTTGTACTTTAGCAAGTAATCCATGTATAGGATTTGTTGAATTATGCTTTTTTTTTTTGCCAAGGTTTTGATATCTTTGCCAGTAGCTCTTGGCGAAAAGTGTAGGTACAGATTGTTATTGCTGATTGTTCATGTAAATTATACTGCAAAAATAGTGTTATTTGCGCAGCTGTAACGGTTTAATTCTTCTAGTTATGGCTATCGATGTGGTTCGGTGGTTGCAATACAATTTGATATCTAGCTTTGTGCTGATGAAGGCCATGGCCAAAGTCAGCTTCTGGGCTTATTGCTTTTGCAATCCCTCTCGTAACCTTTCTGGGTTATTCTTTGTTTAGAAAAATGAAATTTGGCAATATCATTGAGCTTTTGAGCTTGTTAAATAAGTGAGAAAGACAAACCAAAAAGATTACTACTTGTTTTATCCATCAGATCAGATATTACAAGTGATTAAACTCAAAATATTCTTCTTAAACGTATGAATTTGTCATTTGATGCCACATGGTTTGTGACTTGAGACAAATCCCACAAAGAAAAACAAAAATTTTGGCACTATCAGATTCTGAACTTTACTAAATTTTCTACACAAAAATAATGATGTCAATTGCATATTTAGAAATACAAAATGCTAAGAATAGTTTAATATGATTCATATAATTATTTTTTAAAAAATAATATTTAATAAATTTGAAATTTCATAAAACTATAAAAAAAAAAAAAGGGAAAAGAAAAGATTGTAACTTTGTTGACTCTTTCTTCTTCAATAAAAAAGGGTGGTGACTGCATACCTAAAACTAAATATCAGGTTGAAGTTAACACTTAAGATTACTTGAAATGGTCTATTTTTTAATAAATATATATATATATATATATAGAAGTGTTGATTAAGAGGCAAATTGATTTTTTTTTCCTTTTCTCAATTCTCATTTTAAATGTACCCAATTTACCATTCTTTTAAGTTATTTAATTATAATTATAATTACAATTTTATTTATACATGTGTTCAGCCCCAATGTCAGCTTCAGCCTCAGCAGCAGCCAGCAGCCAATGTGTTCTATCCTGAGTCCTGACTTTTGACATTTAATTCTAAAATCTGTCATTGGACTCACTCTGTCAAATTGCGTCAGCTCTTTTATTTGGCGGAGAGGGGACCGCACCGCACTCAACCTCAACTCTTCCATTTCATTAGCTTCTCATCTTCTTGTCAGTTTGTATATTTTTACCACCAACACCAACCCTCCACCATTTTTTTGCCTTTGACACAGCTGTCTTGTTGATTTGCAATCCGAAAAGCCTTTCAGACTATCTCAAAATCTTTAATCTTTCGGTTCATCCGAAGCTGAAAATCTATGTTTGGGATTGCTCTCTCCTCCACAATGGTGCTGTCAAAGCGTGGCCATTGGTTTTTCAAGTTTAGAAGTCTAGTTTCTTGTCAAAGTCCCACTCCCACTTATCACTATCTTTTCAATTTGTAGAAAATAGTTCTCCTCCACAAACCATTTTTGATCATTTGCTCAACAAAAGGCTTTTCTTTTCCTTTTTGTTTCTTCTTTCTTTTACCATTGGCTGACACAGAATATTCACTTTCCCTACCATACCAATCTCTCCACAGTCCTTCCCACACGCCCACAGTTTTCTTTGGGCTTCGGCTTCTTTCTCTCTAAAAATCTTTCTGTATTAACCAACATATGGTCTTAACTCTTGTCTTTCTCTCAAAAGGCTTAATGGTTTCCAAGGACTACTTCGACTTCTCACGTGCAGGTGTGGAAATGGCTTGGATTATGCTCAGTGTCGATTACTCAAGGCTCTTTTGGTTATTGTTTGGCGTCTTTTCCTATGAAAATCATGAAGGAAAGCCTCGGATCCTCTAGCGCATCCCCCTTACTAATCATCAACTTTCTTTCTTCCATAAATTTGTCTGCCTTGTTCTTGAATTACACTAGTAGATAAGTATATTTGTGTTTTGAAGTTACATATAATATTACAATAAGCTAGACCGAGAGGTTTTGAAGGTACCTGATTTCTCGGACCATGTACAAAACACGTCTAGGAGGATGTGTTGATGCAGTTAAATCTCAGCTTGGATACGTTGAAACCGATCCATCTGGTCGGTATGGGCGTGTAAGTTTTCTTCGATTCATTGACTCTAAAGTCTTTGCTTTTTGATTGATGCGTGAATTGAAGATGAACTTTGATAGCTTAACTAAGCCTCAACAATACAAAATCAGCTTTTGAGTAGGAATGAATATTTCCAACATCTTTTGCAATGATAATGGATAATTGCAGGTCATATTGACTTGAGAGTAATTACCCTCTTTTCCGTAACAATTCTTTGGTGCAGCTCTTTTTGAGATGTGGGCTTTTGATTTTTTTTTTTTATGTGATATTGGGAAGAATCCTCAGAGATCTTAGAATTTTCTTGACTGCTCGATGTTATTTAGATTAATGTCAAAGAACTAGACGGTTTCTAGGAAAACAAATTTCCCATATAATTTTCTTGATAATGTATACATAGTGTCTGCTGCTGCATTAAACATAACAAAGCATGATTGAAATGAATTTGGGTTTAAGCATAATCCATGGTTCAAGATTAGTTCATGATATCCAATATTCCTTTGGTCAACGGCCTTGTGAGATACATAGTTCTCATATAGAATAAGCAAATAACTCCACCACACCACTATTATAATCCGGCTAACAGAGATTCTTTCAATTTCCCTTCAAAACCCGAACAACAGTTTTTGTAGATTTATATATATCTATATCTATATATATATATATATATATATATATATTGATGACTCGGTTATAAATATGATTGTAGATACCGGAATATTCAAATTATTTTTGATTCCATAAATTTTCCATATATTAGAATAGGATCCATTAATATCCTGATCATATTGCAAATTAGTGAAGCACATATATAAATGGAGGAATTATGCATTGTTTAAGTTTTAAAATGACTCAATCTGTGATGATACACGAGAATTTCGCAGTTTAGAGAGGTCCTTGGTAAAGGAGCCATGAAAACAGTGTATAGGGGGCATTTGATGAGGTGCTTGGAATGGAGGTGGCATGGAATCAGGTGAAGCTTAATGATGTCTTCCGTTCACCAGAGGAACTGCAGCGGCTTTACTCTGAGGTCCACCTCCTCAAGAACCTGAACCATGATTACATCATACGATTCTGCACATCTTGGATCGACATTGATCGTAGAACTTTTAACTTCATCACTGAGATGTTCACCTCTGGCACCCTTCGAGAGTAATCACAAGACCTTAATTACTGTCAGTTGAACTGATATGTTAGTGAGGTGTTATTGTAGTCTCATTTTTAATATGTTGTAGGATGCAATACAGGTACAGACAGAGGTTCCGGCATGTGGATATGCGAGCAGTTAAGAACTGGGCTCGCCAAATTCTACATGGTCTAGCTTATCTGCATGGCCATGACCCTCCAGTGATACATAGAGATCTTAAGAGTGATAACATTTTTGTCAATGGCCACCTTGGACAAGTCAAGATTGGTGATTTTGGAATAGCTGCCATTCTTCGTGGGTCACAACATGCCCATAGTGTTATAGGTAAGCTCTCAATTTCCATCATCCACTCAAATTTTATAAATTCAAGCAAGTCTGTCTGATTTTCTAGATGATCATATATATCTTTATATATGTTAATTTCTTCAAACCGGCGTAAAATACTAGGTACGCCAGAATTTATGGCACCAGAACTGTATGAGGAGGATTATAATGAACTAGTAGATGTATACTCCTTTGGCATGTGTGTATTAGAGATGCTTACTTTGGAGTATCCATATAGTGAGTGCTCCAATCTGGCTCAAATCTACAAGAAAGTGACTTCGGTGAGTTCTATTCTGTCTCATTAATTCACCACTAAATTAATCTATTACAGTTATGTGCTATGATCCTTCTTTAATCCAGGGAAAGTTGCCAGAGGCATTCTACAGGATTCAAGATGAGGAAGCCAGGAGGTTTGTTGGGAAGTGCCTGGAGAATGTTTCCAAGAGGTCGCCTGCCCATGAACTCTTGCTTGACCCATTTTTGGCCTCTAATGAAGGGAATCTGCTGCCCATCCCAAGTGTCTTGTGCCAAAATCTGACTCCTAATGGCCCTGTTGCAAAGCTAGTGCCTTCTGTTGAGGTTGATCCAAGAAGGAATACTGATATGTCAATAACTGGCACAATGGATACTGAAGATGACACAATTTTTCTCAAAGTACAGATTAAAGACAAGGAAGGTACTGCCTTAAGCTTCTTTTCCTATAAACTTCCTTTTTGTTTTAATATTATTACCATCAATTAGCATCATGTTTACTGTATGAGATATAATATGAGATTTTATTTCTTTGATTTCTGCAAAGATTCATTTAATGCATTGTGAAAAAACTGTGGAGAAATTAATTCCCTCTTGTGATTATATTTCTGTACTATTGTTTACATACTGAAGAAATTCATCCTTCAAAATATCTTTCTTCCTTTAAAATGTTTATTGGACTAATCGAAATCTGTCTTCACAAGGTTTGATTTCCGTCAACATCTGCATAATGCCATCCTGTATGCCTTAATTCATGATTTCCCGTATTACAGGTCTTGCTCGCAACATCTATTTTCCCTTTGACATAGTGAATGACACTGCAGTTGATGTTGCCTTGGAGATGGTGGAAGAATTGGAGATCAATGAATGGGAACCGTTGGAGATTGCTGATATGATAGAGGAGGAGATATCCTCCCTGGTTCCAACTAGGAAGGACTGGGGCTCCTCTCAAAGAGGATCATCAGCACAGCTTTAAGTATGAAGATGACGAAGAATATGATGTCCATAATGGAATCAGCACATCTGCAATTGATGTTTCCTTCCCAAAGTTCCATTCTTCCTATGAAACACAATTTTGTCATGGGAAAAATGTCACTTCTAGTTGCAATTGGCCCCAAGGTACGTTTAGTCTTTTCCAGTAGCTTGACCATCATTTGAAAACCTGTTATCTTGCTTATCCTTCATTGATCTTTGGTGGAAAATACAACTCTTATCTATATCAGTCTTCTTTGCTGTCCTACATTTAACAAGACATGCTCATTCTTGCAGATGAATTCAGCATTAATTATGTAAGTTCAAGTTGCTGGATGAACTCTTTCCAGTGCTCTAACATGAATTATAAAGGTCATTTAGATTCAAGTCCTCAACATGGGGACCATCCCTGCTTTTCAAAGAACCTCAAATCTGCAAGATTTTGTCCATCAGAGAACCCGAGTGCTTACTGCTACAAACAGTGCGACGCACAACTTGATTCATGGAGGTTTTCTCACTCAAATGGCAAGCGGAAGATGACAAAGATTGGTTCACTTGTAGACATATGCAGCCAACTGCTGCACCTATCAATAATGGCAGAGATAAGCCAAAGGCGCTTATATAAGACCATTGGAGCGGTGGAGAGCATTGGATTTCAGGAGCCCGAAGAGGTTTCAGACAAGGCATGTCTTGGTGGCAACCTGAATGAGAGGATTCCATGATCATGACGAAAATTCTGTGGGAAATTTAGTTGGTTAAAATCACTCTAGTCTGTCTGTTAACATTCCAGTTGCTTTCTGGTGTGTGTTCGAGGAGTGATGCTTGTACAAGTTCTGAATCTTCATTCTGGTTTAGTTGAAAAATTACTGCAACTAGAATTTATTCCATAAGATATCACTATATATATATATATATATATATATATATTTGGCTTGAAGAAACTTTGTTGTTATAGAATTTCTATATATTGGACTGAAAATGAAACATATTTTTATTCTTAGATTCTGATAGATATTTGTTCCTCAGACAATAAATTCTGCCAGTGTTTTTGCTACCTGTTCTCATCCCAGAAGGCATGGTAGGCATTGGTAATTTTAGATCTCAAGTTCAATTCTTAATTTCCCTATGTCATGTTACTGATTGGATGATGACAATTTTGATTCTAATTGTTCGGTGAAAAAGTTTTAATTTAATCAGATAATTAAGTCAATAAAAATATTATTAAATAATTAATTAATCACATAAAAATAATAATTTAACTGATTTAACACAACCGATCTATCACAACTAAAAAAAAGATTATTAATTAAAAATTAAAAACAAATCAAATCATCGACAACCGATTTCAAACAAATCAATATATATGAATATCTCATTCTTCTTTAATCTTATTTTTGACTCAAATAAATGCATATCTTTATAACTTACCGCAACTATATAAATTATTTCAATTTCATCTAATTCACTTGAGCAAAACAATTATAGTATCTACGCGAGCTTGTACAACAGGGTAAAGAGAAAATCCCATGCCCACCAAATAATCCCCACAAGATTTTGTTAGTCACATTGCTATCATATCCATCTGTCACTAACATGTTTACTTACACAAAAAGTCTACCTCAATTAATACTATATATTTACTGTTTTAAATGGGGTTGGCCCGACGACCACTTGCTTACCAATACCTTTTTCTCCTTCAAAAAAAAAAAAAAAGTTTTTACCCTTTCATGTATTATTTTATTTAAATAAAAAGATTATTTCAACTCAACTCTTTTGAAAATAAAGATTTGTATTCGTTATAATAAAATTTCGGTTCATATTAACATAAATTTCTTTCTATTATTAGAGACTATGTGGCATGGCTTTGTCAAAAGACAAAATGTAAGTAACATTGATATGATCCTTATGCAGCAATATATATTCTTTTCTGTCCCATTATGTTTGTTACTTGTTAATCTTTTGGATCAAACTAGATTAATTTTTATTATTATTTTAAATAAAATCATAGAAATTAAAAATAAAATTTGTAAAATTTAAATTTTAAAAATTTTAAAAAATTTTAAAAAATTTTAATTAAATATAATATTTTAAAAAATATGGATCAAAGTTGAATTCATTTGATAAAAAATTCAAATATCATCGAAATAAACATAGTATATATAGAGGTAAAAAATAAAGGAAAAAATATAAATTACTTATTAAAAGGAAAACTAGTATTTCAAACGAATTAATTATTTTGTAAATAATAATAAAGAAATTTGAAGAATTCATTGTAATAAATCCAATTCAATAAATTTGTTTTTTTTTATCTCTTTTTAAATGATTTCTTATTTCAATATTTTAATGTCAATCGTTAAAATGTCATTTTCTTTGATGAATTAATTGTCATTTCCTTAATTTAAGATTTTCTTTTTTCATATAAAGAAGTAGAACTAAATTTTAATGCCAAAACTTCAACAAATAAAAAATGGTCCCTTTATTTGATTTGAAGATCAATATAATTCATGTTTTTTTTTGTGTGAAACTCATGTGAAAAGATGTTATAAAACATGACAAAGTCTGGGGGTGCAAGTAACTGGCAAAGTACTAATCACGCACGTGCAGCAGTTGGTTGGGGCATTGCTCTCCAATAATATGGGGTCATGTTGCTTGGGAACCCTTCCACCCTACGCTACCCTTCAAACTTTGTAGGGTACGTTACCCTTCATTTGCCCATTTATAATATTATTATTTTGTGGGTTAGAAATATATATATATATATATATAAATTGTGTTGGCAGCAGTCAGGGATGAGAATAATTTTAATTGGATCGATTTAATTTTATTTTTTAATAATTTATAAATTTTTAAAATTTTATATTATAATTTTTAATAGATTTATAATTTTATTAATTTTTTTTTTGGGTCACTCCCAGCAGTAGCCACAATCTGCGGGTTAATGTTGGTCCCTCTGGTCGATCTCTTTTCTTTATTTTCTTCTGTCTCATCTCATGTCTCTCTCCGTTTTTTTAATCTCTTCTTTGACTCCGTCTCTCCTTGCGGCTCGCCGACACACTCCCGAAATTGCTTCAATTCGGCATTTTTTTGTTTTGGAAGTCGTGACTCTTTAGTATATATCACAAAACAACAAATATACATTCAAACCAGACAAAATCAATATAAATTTAAAGTCATAAGATTTTATAATTTTAATAGAGCCTCTTTCTTGTTGGCCAATGAGATTCATGGGATATAGTTGGCTAAGATTAGAGTAAATTAATGAGGTCCCAAAAGAAATTAATGCTCCTTTCGATACAAAAAAATTTGAAAAAGATAAATTATTCAATCATTCAAAAATAAAATATTTAATATTTAATAATTTAAGATAAATAATTAAAGATAATGCATATAAAATAATTTCATTAAATAATTATTAATTGAACTCAAATTTAAAAATTTTAAGTTAAAAATGATTTTTGTCCATTGAACTAATCATGTAGTGAAATTAATGTTTAATAGAAAGTCAATGCAGAATGCAAAAGTACAACTTGAAAAAAGTATTAGGAACCGCAAAATTAGGGATTAACAGAATAATCCTATTAAGAAAATGTAAATTTTTTTTTTATTTTATAGGGTAGGTAAAACCAAGCTTCAAGCTCTTTGTCCCAGAAAGAAACATCACTTCAAGTCCCACATTTCTTTTCATGAAAAAAAAAAGGCAAAAGAAAATAATGGAAAACGAGTACTGTTACTCTCACAAAAAAGAAGCATCTAATTGCACAAAGGGAGAGTAATTTGTTAGCTAATCTGAACACTTTATCACGATCGGTAGAGTCTGATCATGCTTCCAAGTCAATGTTTCCATGTCCTTAAAAGGACATTATAGAAAAATAAAGGAAGAACCCCCCAAATCATGTCTGTTAATATTGCTATTTTTGTTTGAAAAAAAAGTACATTTGCCTTTTGTAATTATCGATGTTAACTTTAACTTTTTCTCTTCGCCGTGGAAATTTTTGAATTTTACAGCTTTGTTTTTTTTACAATGTGCTATATTGCCTGGAGCAGGAGATACAGATAGATATAGCTTTAGAATTGTGAAGATAGAAAAAAAAACTGAACCCTCGTCCTTAAAGGGTATCTTCTTTTGGTAGAGAAAACCTGAAGCTGATGGAAGAAGCTGTCAGGAATTGTACGGTCGAGGGACCCTTTTACATGTAATTCATATTCATAGAATCATATTGAATATCTGTTTTGTTTTTGTATTGTTTTGCGCACTATTCCTTATTTGATTTTGGTGCATGCAAAGTACTGATATATTCATTCAACAAAAATTATTGTCCTTGTGGTCTCTTTAGGAAGTAAATAAAACAGGCATGCCATTACTACAAGGTTAGTTTAGGTAGCAAGAGAGAGAAGACTTTTTTTATGTCAATAGAATTTGATTCTTGTAAAAAGTTTTTTGGAATAAAATTTTGAATGCATTAATCAGACGTAGAGAAATATATTTTTAAAATCGTCTTTAAAATAAATTAAGTTCAAATAAAATCTGAAAAAACTTGGTACTAAAAAAACTTGCAGGATGCTACCTCATTTCCAATAATCGAAGCTTCTTTTTTTTTTTTTAATTTTTGGACATGAATTTTTTCATTATTGGATTTTGCTTCAGCCTTCCTCCACTGCATGAAGTGCAGGTAGCTGTGGGCTCAAACTTTGTTTTCCAGTTGTCCCTTTTGAAAACAAAGAAGCTTGTCCTTGTATCAGGCTTGAAGTTGCAACATGTAATAGATTTTCCATTGCTTCCTATTTCCCTTTTTCTTTTTGGAGTCCAACTGTCTCATTGGCAATGTTTAAGTGCAAAAGATCTTGATAATAGGACAATTTAGAAAAGCTAAAATAAAAAGCATGTCTTCAATGGATTCTGTTGTCATTAGCTGCACATCAAGATACGCTGCCAAAATTCATCTCTTTTTCTTTTTGGCTAAATGGTTTTCATTCTCATGAAAGCAGGAAAAGCCTTGTTACTAAAATACAGTCTCAACAGATCAGAAATATGATGACAGAATAAAACAGGGCTACCTAAAAATTCCAAAAAAAAAAAAAATCTACCTCCTGAATTTTCTACTTTATTCAACTATAAATTGATATGTAATTGATTGTTAAAAGATGTTCTTGATTAAATTGCTGATCACCTAAGAACTAGTACTACTTACTTTGAAAGGAGTAAATGAAAAGAAAGTAATAAAATGATAGGATAATGATAATATTTATACTTGGTAGGAAATTATTTCAACTGGACATCACTCAAATCAAACCAGATTTGCTTGAAAACCTTAATGATAAGGTCATGATATTCATCGGAATTCAGAGAAAGATAACAGCAAAGCAAATCCTCCAAGTCCTTTGATGCGCTGATGTTGTTCTCCATAATCATCTCCACCATTGAGTCCATGAAGTCTCTCTGAGGATCATATGACGACTTCACCACCGCAAAACTATCCGATAGACTCCTCCTTGAGCTCGAGCTCGAGCTTGACGACACACTTTTTCGAGCATGAGCCTGAATTCTTCTGCTTGCAATTTTTGGAGAATTTACTCTAAGCCTTACACCAGGAGAATTGACAGGAAATTTCCTGACAGGACTAGTGTTCTTGTTCTCTTTCACTGTAATTCTCTCTTCCTCGACAACCTTGACAGAGAGTGAACTATGAGCATTTTTTTCCTCAAATTTAGCTGAACTCCTTCGATACTTGGTTGGTTCATTATTCTGCTCTTTCTTCTTGATATGCTTTACCATGTCGCTGAATTTAGTAGGCTTGGTTATGATCGGAGGGAGTTCAAGCTCAGACAACTTGGGAAACTCATCTAGCTTGTTGAATTTCTTAACAAAAGACTTGTTATCAACATCGATAACGATATCATTAGCTTTAGAATTGACTTTGCAGCTACAAGAAGTCGGCCAGGATACCATGTTATCGAATGATTCAGTTGTAAGAATGCAATCAGACCTGAATTCTTGCGGGAAAGACTCACAAGGATTTTGGTCTGAAGAGCTATCATCAGAAGAGGAAGAAGCTGAGTATTCTGGTGGGGAATCAGCCTTAGTCCAGAGCGTGGCACGGCAGCTACAACCGGCAGAAACAGAGGAAGTAACAAGTTTGTTAGACGACCTTATATTTCTTTTTCTGGATCGTTGTTTAGAAGATTTTCTTGGTGAGTCAGGGAAATGGGCATCCACGGATTTGGTGTTTGTTGGAGAAGCATAGAATCTATCACTTGGGATAAGCTCCCTAGTGAAGTAATAAGACTTTCTTGGATAAAAATGGTGGGGTTGCTTTGTTTTTGATGGCTTTGTTGTTGTTGTAGCAGGAGATGTCGGGTGTTGTTTTTCCCTGTAAGGGTTGGTACTGTTGCTATGGTTTCTGGCTCTGCCTATGTCTTTCAGCTTGTAGAACCAGGCATTGGGCATCATATCTGATAACCTAAACCTGTAATTGCCCATGAAAAATTTCTAGTTGTATGAAAAAAGTTAAAAGGGTTTATAAACTACAGAAACCTCTAAAATGTGAAAGAAAGTAAAAATGTATTTGAAGATAAACTCTTGATCATTCTCCTTGATATGGGACTGACTGAAGAGCAGAGGCTGTATAAAAGGTAGAGATTGATTGAAATTTGGAGAACTGATGGGGTCCACGAAGGGAGAAAAAAGTTGTCCAAGGAAAAAGCAATGACTCTTAATCACCAAACCAAGCAGACATTTTGTGTTATTATAATCATTATTATTTTATTTACCTCTTAAATAAAGGTGATTCATCCCCAGCTTAAACCTGCTTTTTTCCCCTACAGGCCCCAGATTCTATGTTTTTCTTACTTGATTAAATCAGTGGTTTTCCATGATTTTCCTAATGTTCTATCCGCTTGGCTCATATGCCAGTCCTCAAATTGACCCCACAAACCTCTTTTGTTTTCACCTGCCATGTAAACTAGAAAATAGGTTTCGGCTTAGGAAAAGGGCACCTTCATGTTCAGCTTTTTATCTGCTATTGCATTTGCTTGCGGCTTTAATACACACACACACACTTATAAATGGGCTATTTATCAAAGCTTTTACCCCATTACTAGCACTTTGCTTTCTGCTTTTGAGAAATCGACTTTCAACAGAAAATGAAAGCAACAAAATGAAAGAAAATTAAAAAGGAGCTTTTGGGAGTGCAGAGTTCTCTTTGGAACTTAGCATTATATGCGTCCAACATAGAAAATTCCATGGCCCATCAATACAGATTTTCAAAAACGCAACTGTATTCTTGGCAAATAATTCTGCTACGGATTACTCTTTCTGTTTAATAGCAAAGAGTCGTAAAGGCCTAACTTAGCCCATTTCTGAGCCTTGCAGCTTGAGTTCTTCTGATGGATTTCTGGATTTCACAGCCCAACCATGTATTATTGCAACCAATTACCTACATTATACTGGAGCTGGAGAACTACTTGAAGTCTGTGGCCTTACCGGATTCTTAGGACCTAAATTTTAGGTAAATGTGAATCTCGTTATCATTAGTTGTGAGTCATAACAAACACAAAGGGCCCCATGCACATGAAACTCTCTGTCTCTATCTCTCTCTCTCTTATGTAGCGATGGGCCTTGAAAATCATTATCTGTTAGTCGTGGGGCAGACCGATCGAGCAGAAACTGTGGCATTGCGTTATCAACGTGTGATTGTAGAAGCTTATCCTATCGTTGTCCGAATTCTGGTCATCCACTCATCCTTGAGTAGCAAAATGAAAGAACTTCAACAGAGCCTTTTTCCTGGCCATGACCCTTTATTTTTGGTTCTATTGTGTGCATCACGATAAATTTCTTAAAGTTTGGTGTATGGTGTTAGAAGACTTAATTATCACTTGGACCAGCTGCATTAGGACGATACTGAAAGCTCATGGACTATATATGATTCAGATGGATGGGTTCCCTACAATGCAGGTTGAGGTTTGGTGAACTGGTCCCCTCGGATGTTCGATGGAGGCATATAACCAATGTTCTACTTTATAGTTAATGTGTCCAAAATCTAATCAATTTAGAGTGGGGACCTGGTGATTTCTTGTCCAGCCAAAATATTTTGTAGTTAATGGCACCTTGTTGGTATCTTGACGCAGGAAAAATTCAGGGAGGTTATCGTTTTGTCCAATCCAGAATGTTTTCCAGACTGATGTGTAAGTTTGCTAGCAGGAATCTTTTCACATGTAGTTGTGGTTTATGAAACAATTAATGGCTGGAGATTTTAGGCCCAAAGCAGTTTTTCTTGAGTGAAATGCCAGAGCTATCAATAAATTTTTATGGATATCTAATCACTTGTTAATTGATTTATGAACAATATAATTTGATAATAATTTGATGAATATGATAATTAAATAATTAAATATATAATTTATTATAATTATTTATTTTTTACATATTTATTTATCTCTTGTTATTTTTTAATTATCATATGAGTAATTTTTTAAATATGAATATTTAATTATAAATATTTTTTTAAATAAATCAAATACATTAAAAATTATAAAATAAGAATTTTTATGATTAATAATTAAAATTATTATATTTTATAATAAATTGAATAAAATTTTAAAAAATTTTACGAATGATCACAAAAATTTTCATTATATTCACAATCATACCTAATGTGATATGACGGAAATCGTGATCACAATCGTAGTTTAAATCCCTACATTTCAACTACCCCAGAGACCCAAGAACGTCACGGTTTCCCTGCGGATGATACTAATGCAAATGAGAAAGGGTCATGGCAGATGTGGAACAGATCTCCCCTCGGTCAGGATGGTCTGGGTTTGGTGGGTGGTCCAGCAAGCTGGCTTTTAGCTCTGGCTCTAGAGCATAATAGATCAAACAAGGAAAATTTTGTGTACCCTTCTACTCAGAAAACTATGGCGTCATTATTCGCAAAAGAGGACCCTATTCTTTGCTGGCACGCAATCTCCTCAGAAGTTCTTTCTTGGTAATGGCCAGAACGGTGGAACATTCAGTCCTGTAACTGGTTCAAGTGATCACGATACATGGTTACATATTGCTTTCTTTTCATCATTGTCTGGCAGTTATAACTATTTTCCAATCAATACTCAGGAGGAAATGAGTGAAATGAGTTATGGAAGTCCCAGAGGATCTACATGTACCCATCCATTTCAGCCGTCTCCTTTGAATTGTTGGCCCAAGTGAGTGCATTGAACTTATATCCTACCATTAAATGTAAGGTTTCACATAGTTGTAGATGGAAAAACAAGAACCTTGAACGTTGTCTATTTTATTTGTTGAATCATTTAACTGTTGATTTGAATGAGATATCTTTACTCTTGGCATTTTGAGTTAGCTCTAATTGGCTGAAAGCATTGTACCAGTGGAAATTATTAGAACTTTAGGAATGAAATTTTTTGTATCTTTTGGACCTATCTTTACTCATGGATTTGAAGTAAGCTATGTGTGATGGAGGCTGTTGTACTAGCGGAGATGATTAGTCTTCTAGGAATAGACATTCCTGCATCTTTGGCTTAATTGAGTTGTTAATACTTAATTATATGAACCGCTAAATCTGAAACAGCAGAATATATGATAAATGAAGCAAAATTTTGTTTTTGATGCTTGATATACATGCCTGCCACTAACTTGCTTAAAATGCATTTGTAATGTAGATATTAATTGCAACTGCTGCTTTTTTTTTTTTGCACTTGTATATTTTCTGTTGGTTACCTAGCCTACTTACCTGCTATGTTTTATGAAGTTAACGGCAACCGTTATGCTCCCATGGTTTTATTTCATACGTGCCCTTACTAGAGTTTTTTCCAACGGTAAGATTTTTTAAAATCTTTATTCCTTAACAAGGGTATTTTTAAACTTATTTCTTTAAGAAAGGTATTTATGCCATGTCAATGACATGTCAGCTCCATATCATATTTTTTAAATAACAATTTAAATGAAAAAAATTTTTTTTAATTGAAACATTAAACTTGTAAGGGGTTTTTTTTCCTAAATTATAATATCTTATAAACCCTAAATCTATTTTCTCCCTACATTTTACTTTTTTTATTAAACACAATTTTCTCTACAAAATTTTGGAGCACAAAGGTTTGCAAAGGGAATTATATTTGGCAGTATTGTTCTTGATCTGAAAAAAATTTTCGATTCTGTTAGAATCCTAAACCTTGTAGTTATGGCGTTGAATTGTAATATAATCTCCATGTTAATTAGACAAGCAAAATTAGTAAAATTCATACTAGAAGGCTTTGTTTTTACATGCATAAACCATAATTTATTGGGTCATTTTAATTTAGAATTTTTTTGTTATCAATTTTTTTCTTGACAAAAAGAAATTTGTTTGTCATTATTGCATCATTCTCCTTTTTTTTTTTTTGTTTTTGGTGAGAGTTTCATACATTTTGATGAACTCAGAATTTGAACTTGAGCTAAGATAAACCATATAACTAAGGACATATTTGCTTATGTAGCTTTTTCCATGATCAGGCCATACAGGGCTTAAGATTAGAGTTTAATATTTCATAAAGTTTACAACAAGCATTAATTAATATGTGAATATTGCCTGTTTATGGACTTCTTTATAAATGAATGAAAAATCATACTTTTAGCTTATATTTTTGTTTACAATTTCTAATTATAGGTAGAATCTCTAGTTAAAGATATATGCAATACAATTTCATTTGCATTGTTTGAATTAAAAGTAAGTTGATTTTAAAATTTTTACATTGTAAATAGCTCGGCAAAGTGAATGGCTTTTCTACTTGAATTTTTTACTTTTGCTTCCAAAGCAATTTCGAATGGCATATTTTATATATTATTGAATTCTTATTATATATGATATTGAGCTAATAATTATTTTTTATTATTTCAATGCTAGTTGGTAATGTTAGAAAGAGAAATTCCAATTTTTTGTTATTTGAATGGTAGCTTCATTGAAGGATTAGATGGCTTGTGTTATGATGGTCCTCCTTTAAGAGCAATTAAATTGAAGTGAAAAACAAAATTCAACACATTGATGGACAAGATTTATTGTATTACAAGATTTGATAGAGAGCGAGCATGACTAAGTTTGGTTTGTCGGTATCCAACAATAGTGCAATCATCAATGATTAAATATATTTGTTTACCTATTATGAATGATGCCAATGTAGATATCATGTTGGAAATTCCATCTATTCATCCTTTTATTAGCAATGTTGAATTGTATTTAGAAGTGGAATCAATTTTTATTGGACCTGTCGAATATAAGGGTCAATCCAAAAGTTTTGTTCCATTTGCTCAATTGCCAACACAAGACAATGACACTTCGTTGGATCATGCTAATACCCACCATGCTAATCAACCAATTTTGCCAAGTACTAGTGAACCTACCATGGAAAGGCAAGTATTAGTCATAGATAATATTTTTGGATTCTCAGATTGCGAAAGTATTAGCCAATATGACAAAGATACTAGTGCAAATATAACTGCAGTGAAATAATTAGTTTATTCTGAATCTAACGATATATTCAAGGATATGAATGTGAATAATGAAGTACTTGAAAAAAAAAACATGAGGAACATGAAGAGCAAAAAGGTTTTGAAGATGTCAACCTAAAAGTTGATAGCACCACTATAGAGGTGCCACTTCATGAGCCAAACATGTCATTCTTCACCAATATTGACTGAGTTGATCATGCTATTACTAGTAATTAGACACCACAAAGCCAAAGTTTTGCTTGGAATCTTGATCTTGAGTTGAGGAAAGGTTTAATTTTCCAAGATAAGGCAGAATTGAAAAGAGCTGTACAATTGTTCTCCATCAAGAGACACAAAAAGTATGAAGTGGTGGAAATAAAAAAAATATGGTCATTGGGGTGTAAAAGACATCGAGAAAGTGGATGCAAATGGAGGCTTCGTGCGTATCAATGTAAAAGTCATGAACTTTTTGAGATTACTCAATATGATGCCCCTCATATATATGTCTACCCAAGGTTGAGTCATGATCACCCACAACTAGACTCAAATTTGTTAGCACATGAGATTGAAAGTCAAGTGAAAGTTGAACCTTCGATTACAATTGTAGCTTTAAATGCTAAGGTAAAAGACAAATTTTCTTATGATGTTTCATACAAGAAGATGTGGCATGCAAAACAAAAGGTCATTACAAATGTTTTTGATGATTGGGACATATCTTATAGGGTATTACCTAAATTTATTGTTGCACTTGAAAAGTATAATGGAATGATTGTTATATGGCAATTTGAGTAGTTGCGTGATTCGACTGTTAGAGTATTCGGACTATTCCACCGTATTTTTTGGGCTTTTTCACATTCCATTGAAGGGTTCAAGTATTGTAGACCAATTATAAGTATTGATGCTACTCACTTGTATGGAAGATATAAAGGTAAAATGCTTATTGCAATGGGAGTTGATGCTAATAACCAGTTTTTGCCACTTCCATTTGATGTTGCTGAGGTAGAATCTTTTGATAGTTGGAAATGGTTTCTTACTTGCATTAGAGAGAAAGTGACTTAACGAAAAGGGATTCGTTTGATATCTAATCGTCATTGCGGTATTCGTGCAGCAGTGAATGAGCCTAGCTCTAGATGGCAAGAACCATGGGCTTATCATCGAATTTGCTTACGACATATATGTAGTAATTTCAATGATAAGTTTCATAATAAAAACTTGAAAATACTTGTTATAGAGCTGGAAATGCACATCAGTTACGAAAGTTTGATACCATAATGAAAGAGGTAGAAAAGATTAATCTTGAAGCTTGAAAATGGTTAGATAAGATACAAGTGAAATAATGAGCATTGGCACATGATGGTGGTCGACGTTACAGAATAATGACAACTAATTTATCTAAGGTGTTCAATAGTGTGCTAAAAGGGGCTCGAAATTTACCTATCACAGTATGTGTGCAATTAACCTTTTATCAATTGGTTAATTTTTTTAGCACCAGACGGGGCTTTGCACTGGAGGCATTGGCAAAATGAGACTTGTACACTCCTCATGTTACAGCTAAACTTCAAGGTTATCTGGCAAAGGCCAACACACATGATCTTGTTCTATTTGATATACAAAAAAGAGTGTTTGAAGTAATAACTGCATCTTATGGTGAGAGAATGCAACGAGGTCATAACAAACAAGTTGTTCAACTTGATAAAAGAACATGTACATGTGAAAATGGCAAACTTATAAGTTTCTCTGTTTTTATGTGATGGCTGTATGTGGAAGGTTGGCACTTAATAGTTGGCAATATATAGAAAAGTATTATTCCATTGAACAATATTCTTAAACTTGGACACCTAAGTTTAATCCAATCTCTCATGAAGCTTATTGGCTAGAGCCTAATATCCCGTAATTATTACTAGATCCTAATCTTAGACGCTCAAAAAAAGGTTGACCACAGTCTACATAAATTAGAACTGAGATGGATATCAATGAAGGTCGAACAACTATTCGTTACGGACTTTGTAAATAACCAGGCCATGATCGTAGGACATGCCAAATGAAAAGACATAAAGATTCAAATGTAGCTGCAGTTTAATATGAAATATAAGGTATTTCTTATTCTTTTTCATTTAAGTTTATTGAATATGTAATTTGATAACTTGTTTCTTCAAGGAATCTACCAGCACCTTATATTTCTTACACCCCATTTATAAATTATCAATTTTTTCTATTTGTGCTTATATCTCTGCTTGCATTTTCTTTATATTATTTTTGTTTTCCATTTTCAATGCTAAAATTTTTAGCAATGGATCTTTGAGATGAGACTTTCTATTTTTTACTCCAATTTCATAGATTGATAAAAGGAATTTATTTGTCTAATGCTGGGAAATAATGGATATTCATGAGTAATATTCTTTTTCTTCTCAAGTTAAAAATTATTTAATACATATATTTTTTTCAAATATATGCAGGGTTACCAAGAATTCTAAGAAGAATTGTGAAGGGAGTGATTGCAAATGGCATATCCAAGTAGTTTTGTTGAGCAAGCATACTGTTTTTATTTTTAAGACATGAACTTGTTCATTTCATAGTTTCTTAAAGGTTTTATGATTTTGCTTTCAATTTACTAGTTTTATCTTTTAATTATATTATGAAAATGTTGGTTGCTTTGTAATTTGATTGGTTTCAACATAATTTTTTTAAAGTAAAGAGCATAAAATATTTAAAATCTTTTTGCCTAAATAATCATCAACTTCCCATTATTCAACTGCAAATATGTGCTTGATTCAAAGAAAATTGAATATTTTTATTACCCAAAACAGAATAGGGAAGCTTTAATACAAAGTTAATAGTTGCAATATCAAAAAACAAATGAATATAAAAGAGAAAAAAAATTACATTTTGAATAGTCTTTCACAAAGTTCTCATTTATAGATCCCTATTGACTAAGTCACAAGAAATCCCAATGACATTTGCAAGTCTCTACCTAATATTCTTTGCAACTGATCTTGATGGAGTAGCATCTGTAGAACTGATTTTGCCATAAATTCTATAAGGTATTTTTGTGGGAGTTTTATCTTCCTTGGTGCTCAGCCCTATCCTCATCGTAACTTCTCTGAAAAAGTTGCTATCTTTGATAACTATTTTGGGAAGCTTGGTGCTGGCAGCAATGCTTATACAATGGGTGGACTCGATAAACAAAAATGGCATGTGTACTCTGAGTCTACAGAATCAGTTATCACCAATGGCCCTATTTACACTGTATAGATATGCTTGACTGGTTTGGATAAGGAAATGGCTTCAGTTTTCTACAAAGACCAATTAGGCTTGGCAATTCTGATGACCAATAAATCTGGCATAAGAAAGATCCTTCCAGATTCTAAGATATGTGATTTTGAGTTTGATCCCTGTGGTTATTCAATGAATGCAATTGAAAAGGCTGCAATTTCTACCATTCATGTTACACCAAAAGATGGGTTTACTTATGCAAACTTTGAAGCTGTAGCTATGATCTGAAAAGTTTGAATCTGAAGCAGTTTGTGAACAGAGATAGTATTCCATATAGATTCAACAGAGACAGTATATGATAAATATAAAACAATGTATAACAGAGAGGTTTTGACCAGATATCATTACTTCAGCAGTAATGTTAATAATGAAGCAACACTATCCTACCTACCAAGCATAAAGCAATGGAGTTTTTTCTTACACTAAGATAGAATAGAATCTTTATTCCTTAATAAAAGCATTTTTAATCTTATTACCTTAATAAAGGTATTTTATGACATATAACCATTTTGATATTTTTCTTTTTCATTGTCATTGTTGCTCATATCTTTCTATAACAAAAATGAAAATCTTTTATAAAAAATGGAAATTAAAAAAAAAACTTTAAAACTCATATCTTTTTTAACAGTGTTAATTCACTTATTGAGAATAAACTCGTTTTCTATTTAGAAAACAAACTTAAAAGAAGCTCTACAAATTTTGATGGGGTTATATTTTGAACTTGAACTATAGAGCAAAGAAGGGTATCGAATATTAAAAAAAGTATTTGATACAATAGTAAAATAAAAAATGTTGAAACTAAATTTTATTTAAAACGAATAGCATGAATGTAATCTATCCATATATAAGCAAAATTTGAAAACAATGGTCTAAACATGAGAGTAATAAAATAGAACGTTTACCTGATAGTCTTCTCAAGAACTTCATAGCGATTCAACTGACAACCATCAGCTAACTCAACAATCCCATCATAAAGTCTTTGAAGTTCTCTTGAACTGCCTACCTGCAACAATACTGTCACTCTGTCAGAACAACTTCACAACCCCAAACCTCAAAATTAACCAACACAATGCCGGTAGAACCCACGTAATCATAAAATTTTCATATAGTCACAAAGCAAATCAAGTGAAATTCCTATTCAACTTTTAGCATGTGTAAATAATTTCATGAATTTGAAGCTGTATTCAAAGTTATGCATTGCTTTCGGTTAATGAAAGATCGGTTCACACAAACAACATTTAAAATAACATCAATTATAATACCCTTTTTTGATAAAAAAAAAAATTAGGCTACCCCGTCAAATCATCCCTTAAAGCAAATTTTTTTCAATCTCATGTTCTAATAATAGAGTCAAGCCTCAAACAACATATGCTTGAGTATGCATTGGAAATTCTTACAAATTAATTGATTTTTTTTTAAAATGGCATAATGGAAATAAAAGTAAATATAGCAAAAAAAAAAGATATAGTAATGAGTCAGAGTCAAAGTAATAGTAGTACCAATTATGGAGGATGACTTTCCATTCGGTTTGAACCCACCTAGATGAGACTTCCAACGTTTAGCTTGGTTACACAGAAATTGCTGCAATTGGGGTGTATTTCGCCAGAGTCCATAAATAAGTTTAGGTATGAGATCTGGCAGAAAATACCTAGAAATGAGTGTATAATTAACTCGCAGAAATGCCTGGTCAAAGAAGGGCTTCTTAGAACTCTGAAGAAAGGCTTAAAGCAGAGCTTTCTCATTGACTCAAGAAAGGCTCAATAATCAAAAATGGTTCGAGGAGAGCTTCAATCGAAAAAAAGCCTACTTATTTTACTTGTATACATGAAGCTCTATTCTGTAGTCTGGATTTGCCTTGCCTACTAGGACTATGCTCTCTTAAGTGCCACCCATCTTTCTTCCCATAACTCAATTGCCCCAGACTCGACCACTATTGCCACTGCCACCATTGTAATTTGAACCTCCAAACCTGGACAAGTCGCACTTGTTTCCCTTCAAAAATTGAAAAAACTCTCTTGCAGCAGAAGGCTGTAGTGGGTTTTCATCTGATTCAACCCCACGAAAAAGGCTAGTAAGGAGACACAGAAGGTTCGTTCTTGGCATTAGCTCCTTGAAAGGTCGAAGAATTGAGTGGCTGGGGTTTAAGGTTTTGTTTTAATTTGTTTGTTTTTGACATATTTTTTTTATTGACGTGGAAATTTTTTTATTTAATAAAAAATAACATGAAAATAATGTGGCTTAAACAATCTTATCTAGAGAAATAAGTTTAAATAACTATGATTAAAGAATAAAGATTTCTAAGGACATCATCTTGAGAAAAAACTCGCCCTTAGTATGATAATTTTAAAAATAGTTTTCAGTGAATAGTACTTCGTATCAAATTGAATAACCAATTTTCATTTTAGAGATGTTCCAAAGGCCAAAAGTATACCCTTTTATTCCATTTTGAACACCTATAATTTCCTATAAGCTTTTTCCTAGGCATGTTCTCCTGTAATCGGTAAAAAACTATAGTGAGCATATTCTTGGAGAATAATCATAGACAAATATGTTTTAATAATATATAAAGTAATTTCCAAATGTAGACATAGTTAACATTAGTGAGGTTAAATGGTGTGGCTATCAACTATCATCCCAGTTACAATATTGAGAAAAAAATTCTCTGTTCACATTATTTCTCTATTCTTTTTAAGACACTTGTTTGTAGTAGAAGGTGTCTTTGGAGTTGTTCCCGCTTGAATTGATTTGACTTTATCATTGCCAAACTTTTGAGGGGATAATTGTAGTGTGATTAGGTCTGTTCATTGAATAATCCATCTGAACAAATGGGCAGCTGTGTTTGTACAGCCATGTTTGTTTAACGCTTGTCGGGGCACTGTTATATGTTTGGCAGGAAGGAATGGGCTGTGCAAGCTTCAGGAGAAGCTGTTGGAAAATCTTTGGTTGCAAGGCCCCATGTTGGGGGTTTATTTCCCATATCAGATGTACAGTCACTTTGGTGATTTGATTGAAATAGGGAAAAAAGTGACAAATTGCCAATTGGAGGGACTTTAATTCTATCTCCTCTCACTTCTCAATAGGGAAATATCCTGTTTTGATGGCGAGAGTTTAGAATACTTGACGACGCATTGTATCTTCCTTCTCTTCTTTATGAGGGAGACTAACCTTTACTTAACATTAGCTTGGATAGGGAATAAACATGGCATGCATTCACTTGCAGGCTTTGGCACATGTGGCAGACTGGGTTTGATTCAGGGCCCTTGAATTAATCTTCAGTGTCGATGTTATTGTTAACCTTATCATTCTCATACATGCTAATAAGCATAACAATAATGATATTACTTTTCATTTTTCAATCATATGTATCGGCATATATCAATTTTTTTTCTAGCATGTTTTTGGGAATTTTAGTAATTTTATTGTCGTTATATAAAATAATAATTGTCTATGACTGGATAAAATAAATAATTGTAGTCCATGAAATTTTCCCAAGGCACCAATCGTCCCCAACGTGTTGTTTGTCATCCTGGTGGTTGATTTTTCACTTGAGCAAGACATCCAAAATCCCAGCCCAGTAATGACTTTTAATTAAGTGCATCAGTAAATCATGGAATTGTGTTCGACATTTCTGATCCGGACAACTTTAACAAGCAATCAAATTTGAGTAATACATATCTTACAACGTTTCATTATTATTCTTCTTATACATTGCACAATCGCACACCAGGGAGTAAAACTTTTTACACTATTTTACAGAACATATCCTTGTGGTTATCAATAATTTAGGCAACGGTTATGAATCTGCCACTGATGCTTACTCAGCACCATTACAGGCATGGAGTATGGAGCATACATCAGTTGTTTCGAGAAACTTCTCTAAATTTGCAAGAATCAGAGGCCCATACTCGAAAACTATCCTCTTACACTGACAAGAAAAACACACCATGTTATATAAGAGTTATAAAGCATCCATGGGAAGGGGAAAAAGGAAAACCAATAAACAAGCAGGAGAGCAATTAGTCAAATTCTAAACATGGAGATTTCTGACCCTTAAACACAACAACTTGTACAAAAACCGACAGTTATGCTACTGGGGATTTATATAATGTAAATAGACCAACAGTAACTGATTTTTATGGATGAATAACAAAACCTAAGGTTAGTTTAACTCACCTTGTTGGCATAGTTCTGCACTGAATTACATCCCTTCAAAAGGAGCTCAATTATCTCCAGCTGCCATCAAGGCAAAAATGGGGTATCAAAATTAGTAATATTGCTGTCTGTTATATTGCACAAGGTATATACTTGTAATCATCCACTTGATCCTTCTTTACTTTAGCAATAGGCATCAAATAACCGAAATACCAAAGTATACTAGCAATACATCAACATCTCCACTACCCACTTACAAACCAATTTGCCAAACCTCATGTTGTCCGTATATACATTATATGTCAGAGACATTGCCTACATTTTCAAAGTAACTCAAAAGTACATTGATGATAACCCAATATAGAAGCTAGATTCAAGGAACATTTTACTGATATGGAGCAACTGAAAGGAAAGTGATAAAAGAAAACAGAAAGCAGAAGAACCATCAATGATGCCACTCTGGTGCCCTCTCAATCCACTCAAACAAAAGAAGAAAGGAAAAGGTTTTATATGTGTGTGAACTAATCCCAAGCTAGCAGTATTATATCTGATTCAACTAAAGCAGAAATTATATACAGGTATTCTTATACCAATCATCAACATGTAGTTTTCAAAAAGATGGAATAACACAAACCTGTGTATCAGGATCTTTCAACTTAAATAGTACTTCTGAAACAGCACGGTGGCACATGCCACAGCTCTCTTCACGGATTTGTGAAGATATAAGTGCAACTTTTTGACATAGGTTGACCTCTTGACAGAAAACTTCAGGCTGTATTGAAGAGATTTCCGTGGAGAAGAGAGGAACATAGTAGTCCACCAGTCTAATGCACTGTGCAGTACAGATCAGATAGTTAATTAGCATTTTTGGACTTAGGAAGAGAACAAAAGGAAGACACTAATTTTAAAAAATATCCCTGAACATCAAGTGGAAAAATAATATTCAATATTTTAGGCTTTTAGGGTTCAGTGAGTAGTTGGCACTTAACCATCCCCTTCTCCCCCATAAACTTTAGTTTAACAATACCTTTATACAATATGTTTGATGTAGTTGCATAACACTTAATGCTTATCATTGTTATAACCTATTGCGCTTTAATTGATATAGATGGAGGTGGATTTGCCATTTAAACTAAGTATCCTTCTTTTATAGTCAATGAATCAAATATAATGATGAAAAAGTGACCTATACAGGAATTATCCTGCTGGTCACTTACTATGCATGATGCAAAGATATACGTACATAAATACATACATATATATATATATACACACACACACATATATGCAACTAAGCTGGATGACTACCTGCTTTTCGAAAGATGATACACTGGAGCAGCTCTCATGAAGCATATCAACTATCTCAGTCCGGGTGTGGTTTTGTAAAAGGAAATCAATTGATTCAGTAGCAAATTCCTCACACAAGGTGCACACATTGTCATTCCGAGCAACCTTATCTACTACTTTCGCATCTTGCCCCTGGTTTATCTGCACAGCTGAACTAGGAATTCCATGTAATTACACTTGATTATTTCGCACTTTCACTGAACAATCTTAATTTAAAAAGTTAAACAATTTGCAATTCAAATTTTCAATTGAGAAAAAATGTACATGCGCATCTTACATCTTCAATGAGCAATCATTTAGGGATCTCACTACCATCTATTGGCAAAATGTGCCAAAGTTTCAAACATCTGCTAAATATGGATATTAATTCATAATGCAATATGCAAGAGGTATATTAACAGTTGAAGCGAACAGCCCAGATAATTCATGTTGATTAAGTATCCTCTATATATTTTGAGGGAACAGTCAGATCATCTTTGAGGATACATTGTTTTGATGCAGTGGATCTTGTTATGTTACAAAGTAACAAGAGAGAATTACCTGATGCTTAAGAGATTACCTCCTCAGTGGCTTCTAGCTGTCTAGCATCACATGCCCAGCTAGCACCCAATACAAAGAGGAACAAGAGCCCAAATCTCGCATCCATAATGCCTGGAGTTATTCACCACATAACATAAGAATCCCATAATGCAAATCAAGCACACTAAAAAGAAACATTCAATGTCTTTTAGATGAACATAACCATAAAGTAACGATTCTATAATACCAATAGACAAAACATTCAAACTATGTCGAGTGAATTTTAAGCAACACATAAATTACTTAAGAGGTGCGGCCATAGTTGACAAGATATGAATGCCAATACACAAACCGATGAATGATATGCAATGCTATTAACTTTTTATCCTAAAGCAGATGTTGGCAGTGTGCCAGATACAAATCGACATCTCCTTTTTCCCATCTTTTTTCAACTAGTGGTGAGTCCATAATGTGTTCCACATATATCAGTTAACCATTTAGACGATTAGCCAATATTACCTTTAATTACTAGGTATATCTTACTAGCAAGAGACAGGTGGTAATTCTAGAACAAGCTAAGTATGCTATTGACTCCATGAATCTTAACTTAAAGGATCAGGCAAAAGAAAAGAAAAAAAAAAAAAGCTGAAACTATCCGAAAGCAGATTATTTCAACACCAATACTTAAAACTAATAACAATTCATATTCTTGAGGCTTTCAATAATTAAATTAAACCATAAAATGATGAAAAAAAGACACAATATTCACACTAATATCAGATGAAAGAAAAACCAAAATATTTAATAAAGAAATGGAAGAAAACCCTTCAAAGATTTTGCATAAAATTAAACAATCGAAACTAATTAATAGTAAAACCCAGATTAACATAATAAAATAGGATTAATGAATTGGAGTTCAGATAAGATCAATGAAAGAATTGAATGCAAGAGAAGAGTTTTACGTTCGGATAGAAAAGTCAATGCAGATAGATTGAATGGAAGGGAAACTTTCTTCCCTTTCGAGTGTCGTTTTGGGATTGTCGTTGGCTCTGCCATTTTTAAACTCATCCATGTAGCAGTCTACGCACATTTAAGTCTAATTATATTAAAAATATTTTTAAAAAGTATTAAAAATTATATTTTTATATTGACAAGACTGCCAATTGTCGGTTCGCTACATCATCAAACGTTGACAAACTTGGTTCTCTGATCCATCTGATGACTGGAGCAGTTTCCAATATTGTAATGTCTTCACAAGAATAGGCCAAAGAAGCTTTGAAAACCAACGAAAACAGTTTCGCTTCTAGAGCCTGTATACTTGATTCCAAGATCTTGTCTTGTGATTCTACAAATATTGTTTTCTCCCCTTATGGTAGTTACTGGAGACATCTACGCTAAATTTGTGTATGAAAAGCCTGTCGAATCACTCAGAAAAGTTAGAGAATTGGAGGTGTCAAATCTCATCGAGACTATTTCTTTATCTGAAAGTTTGCCAATCCATTTTAGCAAAAACAATTTTGTCATTGACATATGGCATAACATCAAGAGCAGCCTTCAATGAAAAATGCAAAGAGCAAGAATCATTCATATCCAATATCACTTAGGTTAGTAAGTTGTCACTTGTCAGGAAGCTTCACCATTGCTGATAGGTACCCTTGTGTTAAAGTGCTTGAATTGATTAGTGGAAGGCCCAAATTTGAGAAGCTACATGAAGAAGCTGATAGGAAACGTGAACCTTGAGGGCTTCATTGCCGACCACAAGATCTGGTTGATATTCTTTTAGATCTCCAAGACAATGGCAAACTGGACTTTCCTCTATTTGTTGACAATATTAAAGCAATCATCTTGTCAGTTTTCTAATTTTTCATTTGCTGCATAATGCATACAACTAATGAAAGTAAATAATTGCTTAACATCGAGAATTAATTTGATATTATCTTATTTGCATAACTGTTGAATGGTCAGTGGCAGAACTGTTGAAGAACCCCTTTTGATGGCAAAGGAAAGGTGGATGATGCAGGCATTCATGAACTGAAGTTCGTAAAAGCAGTTATCAAAGAAATTAACATTAAGGCTGCACCCAGATGTGCCTCTGCTACTAAGAGAATGCTGCGAGAACTGTCATCTTGGTGGTAAATCAAGCTTTTGCTGCACAAAGCTTGTAGCATTTCTAAGAAATAATGCCATTGTTTCATACAAAAGCCCCCAAAATAGAATTGAACCTTGGAAAACTGGGTTGAAACTGAGTATTATAATATTCAAAATCAAAAACTCATTAATTTTGTAGTTTTCTCAAGGGTAAGATTGAAGATAAACAATGAAGTTCAAACCAACGCAAATCTTTTTGTAGCACAACTATGTTTACTAATACATATATATTAAAATGGAAACAAAGTTCAGAAGTGAAGGGACAGAGGTAGTGGTTCTTTAGTGCATTCGTTCCGTACAGTTCTCAAGAAAATGATCTACAGAAAGACGTTTAGTAAGTTGGTTTTGCCTTATCAATTGGCTTGTATAAAAAATATAGTCTTGCTTCCATTGTGATACTATTTGCAACTTCGTTGGGATGTTTGTAAATGCTGGCTCAGTGAGACAGTGAATGGGTGGTGATTGAGATTCACGTGGAGGTCCTGACTGAACCGACATCATGATTAGAAAAGGCTCCCACGACGAGAACGACCTCGACTGAGTCGTTGGACCAAATGGCTCTCCTTATTCCTAGTTTCCTACCAATGTAATCGATCAGAAGCCATTGATACGGGACAATGACCTCACAGTCATTTTTGCATCTAAACCAATGCTTGGCTTTTCATATCAGCATCGCTGGATCCTCTATATCGAGTCCATTTCTGGTCATTTATAGGTGAAGATGCACGAGAAGCACCACTTTCAGCAAATTATAATATCATTAAACGACACAAACTAAAAAAAAAAAAAAAAAAAAAGAAAAAAACCTTGAAATGAAATCTATGTTGAACTTTGACAAAAATAAACTATTTTGAAGAAATACTTCATAATTTCATTTTGAAAATCTCAGAATATAGTTTAAAACATGCAATTTGTTACTTAATGACTTACTGCTTTTTTTTTTAAATGCAATTTGGAATAAAAAAATAATTATTGGTGTATCGATATTTAAATCTTAAATTTATGAAATAATATATTTTTAAAAATAATTATATGAATAAATTAAATTAAACTCGATTACTATTATAAAGTCCAATCATTTGCTCTAGAACAATTAGATTATATATTTGAAATTTACCATGCTTACGCAACTTATTAAATATCAATTAGTCATTATTGATTAAAATTAAACTTGAGATGAGTGACATGGTTCTATATATTAAAACTGACTCAAACTTTAAAAAATTCGTTTAATTGCTACCTCTACTCTACATTCTGGCCGGCCAGGTACACTTAAATCGACAGGTGAACGGGTAAAAAATGGTTACATGCATATAAATTAGATGAAAATATTTGTCTTTAAAGCTTAAGGGATACCCATTTTGACACAATTCTACAAGTCAATAATCAATTTCACAATATTGCATGTAACAGTAATATTCTTAATCTACACATATGACTTTAGGACTGCTGGTCCTGCTGTTCCTATAATATTATAACCTCAAAAGTGTACAGAGCTTAAAGCATAAAGGCTAAAGCTTTCCCTTCTGGCTCTTGGATTCTCTCCTTTATATCTTGTTACTCACTGATCACTGAAACCCAAAAACACCATAAATTTCATCCAAAGATGTTTAGCGCAAGCCCTGATCTTGCCCAGAATAAGACCCTCCAAATTATGCAGGAAGACAAGTTCTTTTCCAGGCTTTTATCCAAGGAAAACTCTGTGGCCAATCCTTCTTTCAGGGTCTACTATGGTGGAGTCTCCGGTGCTGTACCTTTCATGTGGGAGTCTCAGCCTGGTACCCCCAAACACACATTCTCTGATACATCTCTTCCTCCTCTCACTCCTCCTCCTTCTTACTACTCCAAGTCCAACTCAAAACCCATCAAGAAGCACTCAAGATCTGGTCTTTTGCACGCATTGTTTCCAAAGATGATCAGTTTGAAGAAAACCAATCCTGTACCTTCATCACCTTCTTCTTCATCATCGTCCTATTGGTCTTCTTCACCAATATTTCTTGCAATGAGTCCCGGGAAATATAATAGCAGGAGCCGATTTTCGACCCCACGTTCTTCGTTTGATTCCAGAGCAGATTATGAAGAAGCTGCAGCCATTGGATCACCAACATCAACTCTGTGCTTTGCCATAGGTAGAGGAAGTATCAGTAAGCTCCGTGGATGCTACGGCTGGTGAAGTTAAAGCCTTATCTTCAGCTATATTGACCACGGATCTGGCCAAGATATAGATTTGCTGGATGATAATCTCTCTCATATTCGTGTTGATTTACTCTGTAATCATCTAGGTATCTTAGTTCTTCTATGGGAAATATCCCAAAACTGTTGAATGCTATGGTAAATCATTTAGTTTTGCAGGAAGAACTGTTGTATTTTTCTCCTATGTGTCTATTTTGTAATCACTCCAAAGAACTTGTGGCTAAATTTGGCAAAAGTAAAAACCTATGAACCTTAATTTAGTAAGTTCCCTTTTTAAGGAAAACACTCTCAATTCTCCTAATCATGAGTACAATACTCATTGATTCTGTTTATCAAGGAGGGAGAGATCATTTACCGTCATGAACATCATCAACATCATCATCATCATCATCACCATATCATTCCTGTTGCCCTCTTCGATAATCATTAAAATTATCATAATTACCATCATAATGTTGGTCAACACAACTTCTAGGCTTATTGTGGCTTTCTACCCTAATCAGCCAGAATAATGTCCAAGTTTGGATTTTATTTACTGTGATGGAGATAATTTTTACTTGTAGGAGTAAATCTTGATTGGCTGACCTGTTTTTAGTTTTAACCCAAAGAATTATTGGCAAATATAAAGAGAAACAGACTATATTAATCCAAAATGGAATAATATTGGAGGCTTCACTCTTACTAATTTCTATCCAACAATGGGATGAGACTATTTTCAAGATTTTTTTCTTATTCAAGTTTTTTTCTTTCTAGCATAGAAGATTCAAATTCAGTTTTTGAATAGGAAAATTTGTGTGTCTCTGAATCAAATGTCGGGACGTATTTTTCATTCAAAAAAGGAAAAAAAAAGTGGCTAGGAATTTGCATATGCACTTGTTCAGTTACCCTTACTGATCTTCACTGGACTAACAAGGATAGAGCTAGAGGGGGCAGGCAAGGGCCACTACGGCGCCACCAAAAATTTTTTACTTTTTTTTTTTTATACAATGATCATCAGTTTCATTTAATTATTACTTTGATCTCTTTTTTCTTTGAAATTATTGTTTGGTATCTCTTTTATCAATTTCCTACTTACGCCTCTGTGTATTAGTACTACTAGTTTTACAGCAGCTGATATTTTCTTTACAAATGTATATCATCGTAATTTAGTACCCTACATTGATCTTCCCTGATCTCAATGCTTTATCAACGGGAATATTTTTTGAAAGGACACTAATAATTTTGTTCAATAATTTACTTGTTTGATATAAATAACATAATCTTGTGGTGCAACGTGGGTGTTGATTAATTGGTGCAGATCTTGTTGGGAAAAACAACACCCACAAGCAGAACCCACACACAAAATAGTAAGTTCAAATCAAGAATAAAAACATAAATATATTTGGTTCGGCTCAACTTAAAATAGCCTACTCCAAATCCAATTCACTAACAAATAAATCTTTACAACTATGAGACTTTTGAGACTTTTAGAATGAGAAAAGTTTCATAAAACTCCTTACTCAAAACTTAACCCAAAATCCAATTACACCATTTAATAGCTTACTCACTTAGTTATTTTCTTGGTGTCTAACTCTCTAGGATTACTAAACTAAAAAATAAAATACCTTATTTATAAGGGTGAAACCACTTATACTTTTACTAAACTCTCGATGTGTGATACTGGACAAATTCAAAACTCACTAACTTTCGATGTGGGATTATGAAATTCAAGGCAAATCCCAACAAATCCTCCATTAACTTGAATCTCTAAACACTTCAATAGTATTTGCAAAGCTAACACGTTTACCTTTCTTCTTTTCTTTCATCATAGGGATCACAGCAATTGAGCCTTCATCAAGCATGTACAAGTGATTTTTGACCCTATTCCCTTATAAAATCACACTACCATTCTTGTACACTTTCAACCAATCATTACTACCATAATATGTGTACCTCCGAGAAGCTAACTCACCCAAAGCAATCAAATTGTAGTGACAACTTGGTACATACCTTACATGATGAAGTGTCCTAATAACACCATTGTGAGATCTAAGGCGAACACTTTCAATTCCTTGAATCTACACCTTTTCTTTGTTAGCAACCATAATATCCTCATACTTTTCATTCTCATCCAACTCCACAAACAACTCTTATGATTGCAAACATGAACTGTAGCAGCTAAATCTAAAATTCAACCTTTATCACTTTTCAAAGTCTGAGTTTCATCAACACAAGTTGTCAAAACAACATCATCATCATCAGACACGACAGCAGCAGTATCACTCTTTTCTTCATCTGATTTTTTTTCATCATTCGCCCTTTTAAAAGCAGTCATATACCTTTTCAGCTTCCTGTAGCGTACTTGGATATATCATTTCTCACCATAATAATAACATTCTATATCACTGTAATCTTTGTCTCTTGACTTGGATCTTCTTTTTGATTTATCAATTTTCTTTTGAGTCTTCCCTCGATCAAAACCCTCTACAGCTAGTGTATTTCCCCTAAGTGATGAGTTTTGAACTCCCATAAACTTTTCATTCTCATGCAACAGGACAGTCACATCATCCAACTTCAAATTAGACCTACCCACCAATACAGTCTGAACTAAAGATCTATAAGACTTGGACAAAGATGACAACAAAATTAAAGCCTTCTTTTCATCTTTTAACTCATCAATAGAAATCGATAGCAATTGAGAAACTAATCTATTAAACTCATTCAAGTGATTATGAAGACTCATACCTTCTTTCATCTTCAAAAATACAGATTCATCTTCAAACATGATCTATTAGTTAATGACTTCGAAGCATAAATACCTCAAGCTTTATCCTATAAACTTTTCAGAGTACTCTCAGTCAACACCTTGTACTTTACTTCTTGAGCTAACGTTAATCTAATAGTACTAACAACCTTCTTCTGAATCCTATTCCAATTAGCATCAGACATTTCTTCAGGCTTACTACTCTCTAATGTCTGATTCAACCCTTGTTGTGCTAACAGATCTTGAATCGTATTTTACCATAACATAAAATTACTCTTTTCATCAAATAACAAAATCTCAAACTTAGGCATAGACATACCAGACATACCTTCTTCAGATATCTTCAAACACTATTTCACGATCTCTTAGATTCACGAACCTTAAACCTCGAACCTCGTTCTGATACCACTTGTTGGAAAAAATAACACCTATACGCAGAACCCACACTTAAAATAGCAAGCTCAAATCAAGAATAAGAACACAAATATATTTAGGCTTGGTCCAATTCAAAATGGTCTACTCCAAACCCAATCCACTAACAAATAAATCTTTACAACTATGAGACTTTTGAGACTTTAGAATGAGACAAATCTTCTAAAACTTTTTACTCAAAACTTAACCCAAAACCCAATTACACCCTTTAATAGCTTATTCACTTAGCTATTTTCTTGGTGTCTAACTCTCTAGGATTATCAAACTAAAAAATAAAATACCTTATTTATAATGGTGAAACCCCTTATACTTTTATTAAACTTTCGATGTGGGATACTGGACAAATTCAAAACTCACTAACTTTCGATGTGAGATTATGATATTCAAAGTAAATCCCAACAAATTGGTATCATATTGTTGGAAATAATGACTCAAATCTCATAAGAGATTTGTTTGAGATTTGTTTAAGATTTGTCAGATATTGCTTGTGGATAAAAAGACTTGTAAAAGAAGAATTCTAAGAGAAAGATGATTCTTAATAGGTAAGTTTAACTTGCAAAAAAAAAATTCTAAAAGAAAAGGGATTCTTAATAAGTAAGTTTGACTTACAGAAAAAAAAATTCTAAAAAAAAAGAGGGATTCTTAATAGACAAGTTTGTATGGTTATAACTAGGTGAAGTCTCTACAGGATTAGGTATAAAAAAAAGATGTAAGAGAGTTGTAAGATTTTATGAGATAGACACCCTGTAGGAGTATTGGAGCTCTACGTCTTATGGGTGTATATGTTTATTTATGAGTGGACTAGAAGAGACTGAGATGATCTACATAAGTATGATGGATGAGAGCATATGGGTATGTATTTAGTTATATTGAAAGGGTACACAAAAGTTTGAGTTTGTGTTTGTTTGGGTTGAAAATACTTCATAGGACTAGAGAAGATTAAGAGTGTCTTATAAGTATTGATTGTTGAGTGAGATTGATGATTTGATGTATGTTTGTAATTCTCTACAACTGGCGAATCTTGTTTTTCATCCGTAGATGTAAATTAGTTGGACCAAATCACGTTAAATTGTTATCTCTTGTGTGTTTGATTAATTATTTAATCTTTTTTTCGTTGGTGTGATTGGATTGGAGGCTTTTAGCCCAATAAATAATATCAGAGTTGTGTGTTCCCCAATAAGTGGTATCATAACTGAAGGTTCGAAACGTGAGAAGAGTTAAAAATTCAAGATGTGAAAAGAGCCAAAGGTTCGAGACGTGAAAAAGCTGAAAGTTAGAGATATGGGAAGAGCTAAATGTTTAAGATGTGAGAAATGCATGATTGAAACATGGGAAGAAGCAAGTTTAGAAGAGCTCGATTCAAGAGAAGAGTTTCGGTTTAAGTTTTAAATATTGAGGATTAATTTGTATGAAGCGTGAAGACACAAGAGAAGAGAAGATGATTGTAAGATTTTTATTATAAGTGGAACCAAACATATTAGCATAAAGACAGATGATTGATGAAATTTGAGTGAAGGTGAAGATTGTTAGGAATAATGACTCAAATCCCATAAGAGATTTATTTGGGATTTATTAGAGATTTGTTTAAGATTTGTCAGATATTGCTTATGGATAAAAAGACTTATAAAAGAAGAATTCTAAGAGAAAGATGATTCTTAATAGGTAAGTTTGACTTGCAAGAGAAGAATTTTGAAAGAAAAAAGATTCTTAATAGGTAAGTTTAACTTACAGGAAAAGAATTCTAAAAGAAAAGAGATTCTTAATGGGTAAGTTTGTATGGTTATAAATAAGTGAAGTCTCTACAGGATTAAGTATGAGAAAAAGATGTAAGAGAGTTGTAAGATTTTGTGGGATAGACACCCCATAAGAGTATTGGGACTCTACGTCTTATGGGTGTGTATGTTTATTTGTAAGTGGACTAGAGGAGACTGAGAGGATCCACATAGGTATGATGTATGGGAGCATATGGGTATGTGTTTGGTTATATTGAAAAGGTGCCCAAGAGTTTGAGTTTGAGTTTATGTTTGTTTGTGTTGAGAATACTTCATAAGACTAGAGGAGATTGAGAGT